AGCAAAGTTAACCAATAGCAAAACAGGCATTGTTTTATGCAAACTGACATTCGTTCTGGCTCTGCTCTGGCATATATCGCCCACCATTCAAAATCAAGTCCCAACCTACATGTTTTCCTCCTTGAATCCCCTGTTTTACACCAAATATTTCACATTATGAAAGCAAAATGAGTTTAACAACTTCCATTTAGCAATTCACATTTACTTTAAAGTCTGAGCTTAGCATATAACGAGTGCACGGCTGAGGGAAACTCCACCATATGGCCACAAGTATGTCCACTTTAGCTCTACCCCTATTCACACATCTGGACAGCTTTTGCCTTTAATTGCCACTAATGTCTGAACGTGACATACGACAAGAAGGAATTAACCAAAGACAAAACCACTGACCTGGGGTTTTACTGAGGGATAGCAGACTCAACAGACAGGAAAAAAAGGGAAGTAGTACAAACACAGGATGCTTATAGATTCCTGAAAATATGAACTATAAAAAATGTAAAACTATGTATGTGGAACCTGTGTTAATGTCAGTACGAAAACAAGAATGTGAGGAAACAAACACGCCATCAACTTTCAACAGGTAGCAAACACAAGCTTGATGACTAAAGGACTTTGTGGCAAAGCGTTTTGAAGAGACGCACATTTCTGGAGCAGCATGCCCTGAAGGACCCTCAAGGAGTGACAGAGAAAATACCGAAAGATCTAGTGCCTGATCAAACATATCTTTTCATGAGTTGTGTCAGTGTTTTCATGCACTAGATGGCATATTCAGCAAACAAATGATAACAAGCAAAACACAGCAAACTCACTTTGAGGGCTAGCAATCAAAGGGAGGCAATTTACAAGGATACGATTGGCTGAGGCAGGAAGGATAAAAATTCTCAAGAACAAGTTGAGTTCAATCTCCGCCAACACAGGTATGTAATCTATGTAGTGAATGACAGGTCATACTCCCCCCTAACAACAGAGCTGAGATTTACACCCATCCATCCACTTATCAAAAGTGTCATGCAGAAAAATAATCTTCTGACAAAAGAGTGATAGCACACTTGTCCTTCGCCAAAAAAAGAGGAAAAAATAGAAAGTATTTAAGTAAAAAAAAGTACAGCTTTCAAAATAAATCTCCGCTAGGTTAATAAAGTTGTCACACGCTGGATTTTATGAACTCAATGTCAATAAATAAATAAATATATAAAGCATCACTCATGGGCATTTCCCCCAATATGCTTATTTTATTACCCCTCAACAAACAGGGTGACAATATGTTGCAATCAAGCCTCTCGTCTGATTGGTCGATGCTGTTTTGAGACCCAACTATCCCCTTAAATGCCACATTACCATGGCTACCTTGTCCAGAATGACTTTGAGCTCGCTGAATTGGAGCAGTTCTGATGGATTTCACTTTAACAGCCTTTAGAAACAGGTTGACAGGTCTGAGAAAGATGGATAAATGTCATTCACTGAAACTGTTGCATTGATGCATGGGGGCCATGTGCCGTCGCTTGGCGAGGATGTATGATAAATACACAGTTAACTAAAACTCTTTCCCTAAATCATATGTAAGCTGGCTCATGACTCATGACAAACATGTATGAACTGAGAGAGAAAAACTGACTGTGCAGGAGCTACAATTCGGCCTACTAATAAAATCACAGACTAACAGTGTGCCATAACCACACACAACGCCACAAAAGCTCCCCTTCATGTTAATCTCAGCTTTTGTCCAGCTGTGAATGTGACATGGTTAGGATAAAATATGAGTCACATACGACAAGCAACAAGTTAAAGAACATTTTGACAGTCGCTGCTAACAGTGAAATTGCCTTGGTTCAAAACTTTGTTCCACATAAATTAAACATCAAATATTTTCTGATTGGTTGTTAGAGTGTGCATTTTTTGCTGGACAAACAAATTCTTGTTGTAATGTTGTCACGTGGTTAGGGCACAGTGCAATATTAATGTGATGTGAGAAATGAGATGTAAGTTAAAATTGAGTCCAATTACATTTCAAGATTATCTGCAATCGAAAGAAATTAGAAGAAAGCGTCTATAACACAGCCATTGAATATAGACTTTTTTAAAACAAAACAAAACAAAAAAAACTTGTCTCAGATATGGGATATCCTGTGATATGACATTGTCAAATCGTTGATGAAAAATGTACTTTGAAATAAAATCATGAACAAAACTGAAAAAAATTATAAAAAAATTATACTTTTATTCAGCAAAGATACATTAAGTTGATCAAAAGTGACAAAGTCATTTCTAAGTACAAAAGATTTGAAGGCTACTTCAAATAAATGCTCTTCTTTTGCACTTACTATTCATCAAAGTGTCCTTGTGTAATGTATTATTAAACAGCACAACCATTTTCAACATTAATAATAAGAAATGTTTCTTGCCCCCAAAAAAAGAAAAACATATTGGAATCATTTCTGAATCATGTGACATGATGGCTGCTGAAAATTCAGCTTTGCCATTACAGAAATAAATATTATTTTAAAATATATTAAAATAGAAAACGTATTAGGTATTTTGATCAAACAAATGCAGCCTTGGGGAGAGTAAGAGACCTCTTTCTAAAACATTACAAATTCTTATAAATTCCAAACTTTTGAACAGTTATGTAAGAAAAAGTATAATATACAAAACATTTAAACATGGTTGAAATACTTTTCAGCATTTTCTAATTAGTAAGAGCAATATTATTTGTAAAACTATTTCCTGCTTTCAGATGCAAAGTTTCATATACATACAGTATAATATTACAATATATACAATATTACAAGCCACATAGAAAATGCATTTTTGTTAAAGGTTTTCCACACTTTTCAAATAATTAGCTATTTCCTATATATAGCAATGTGACACAAAATTAAAGGGGTCATATGATGCGATTTCAATTTTTTCTTTCTCTTTGGAGTGTTACAAGCTCTTGGTGCATAAAGAAGATCTGTAAAGTTGCAAAGACTAAAGTCTCAAATCCAAAGAGATATTCTTTATAAAAGTTAAGAGTCAGCCACACCTACTTAAAACGGCTCGTTCTAACACGTCCCCACATACCTACGTCACTATGTGGGAAGATTTGCATAACGCCGCCCAAATGTTCACGCAAAGAAAGAAGGCATAACTTTTATTCTCGCTGTAGTATTGTTGTTGCCGCCGCCATGTCGTGAAGGCGCTGTGTGTTTCGTTGTGAAAGCGAAACTTCTTTGTTTGGTCTTCCAAAAGAGGACGATATCTGCTTCGTCATGCCTGGAGCTGATCCGTGCTGGTTGCTGAGAAAATACAACAACTTTGCGCTGTGGATCGCCGGATCGGCTTTCACCGTGGACGAAGCGGAGTCCAGCCCGGTGTCGTCACATGTGGTTGCCGCAAGCCTCCTTCGTCGAATCCGCCGGCCGCGCCGTTCTCAAGCCCGCCGCCTCTCCTCACCCTAGCCCCCGGCTTCTGCTCACTCTAGGCCGCCGCCGCTCACTCTAGGCCACCCTTTAAGGGGCAACACAACTTTTACCCACTGACACATCTTACCCCACACTGCCCTACAACTGACCGACCTCTTGGCAAGTCCATCACTCATATGCCAGTGCCCTTGGGAGTCTTTCATCCCCCCCCCTCACTCTCATGGAGTTGCTGTGCCGTCCCTCATGCTGAGTATGGGAAATGAGCCTCCCTATACCAATTTGTCCTGGCCTTCCAGCCCACTGTCCCTGATAGACCACCTGCCCCTGGGCCTCTCATTGCACCCATGTAGGGGGTGGCAGTGCCCTCCATGGGCCCTAACCCCCAAACTCCTCTGCCTTAATGGCCACGGTGCTGCCCTATCGTGCCAGGCAGCCAAGCATAGCTCTACTCTACCAGACGCCAACACTCTCTTGGAATGCTAATGATCTCCTCCATTCCCATCTTCCGTTCTACTCCAGACACATAGCCAACCCTTCCCCCACAATCTGTTGTTTCCGTCAAGCACACGTGCAAAGGATGACAGTTTGTAATAAAAGGTTTGTGTTACTTGAATTAGTCTCCAATACACGTATTCAGGGAAATTATGAGATTCAGACAAACATTTCGAGAGGGTCTTTTCACTGTGAGCGGCTTTTAGCTGGTCATGCACTTGACTGTCGCACTGCGTGAGTTCAGTAGCTCAAGTGCACTTACAGACACTTCTCTCCACACACCCCCACCCCACATACTCGGGCTGAATGAGAAACTAGCATCCCCTTGGGCACATTCATTCCTGGGGTGACTGGAGCAAGTGGAGATTGGAGTTCGTATTTACTTAAAACGAGAACAGGTTTAGAATTGGAGGGGAGGAAAACAGGAATTGCAGCCAGTTCCTAACACACTCTCTATACTAATTCAAGTGGCTCTTGATGTTATTCAAAGTGATTCTTAAACACTGAAGGTGTTTCTGCTGTTTGATGAAAGCAGTCATCAAACCCAGTGTTGTCCAGTGGACACCTGCTAGTCAAATCCCACAACAAAACCATATCCCTATTCAATAGATTCCTAAAGCTTATACAGAAACAACCACTGCAACTGTGGGATGCCATACAATACACCCTTATTATGTGCGTTCATACACTAAAAGCTAATACAGAGATGACTCATTCAGATTTTTAAAACAAATTTGAATTAAATTCAACAATAAAGGCCTGTTTACATTAAGTCTGATGTTAAAAAAGAAATCTTAATTTTTTTAAATTATTTGCATATTGAAAAAACTGAATCAAAATGTTCTGAAAATTTCTAAACTATGAATTATCAATTATTTAAATTATTTATTTGTAATGATATAAAAAGTGGGGAAAAAAGGGGGAACATGTATCAACCTAGAAAAAAAAACTGTGGTTAATATCTCTGGAAAAGGCAAGTACAACACTCAAATAGAATTAATCATATAAATAACATAAAAAATACTATGCAACACTCCCTCGACAGTTAGTTCTATTCAAGACTATACTACGGAAATGAACTTGAATTTTCTTGTGTGTGCTTACCAGATCAGAGAAGTCTTGTATTCTTCCGGGAAGTAGACTGGTTGTTTTCCACCGCTATCACAGACTAGGCTTCAACTGGCAGCATTTCTTCTTGACTGAACAGGATTCTGAGGAAAATAATGCAGAGATGAAAAAGAACTGTGAGATGCAGAGAATTACTAGCTATGCACCGCTATCAAAAAGCACCATAACGCATGCCAAATACTGATGTTGTGTTAAAGCCACAATCAAAAAATGAACTCATGTTAAACAGGAGGATTTTGTGATCCTTTCTCTTCCTGTAACTGCAATCAGAGTGGTGATAGAGCTTTAGAATCCACCAATGAACAACCCATGATCAAATCCAGCCATTGCACTTAAATCACAAAAAAGAATCTGGACTAAAGTGTTTAAATTATATATATATATATATATATATAATGTAATGTAAGATATATATATATATATATATATATATATATATATATATCCATCACTGCAGCCCTCCACCAGTCGGGGCTTTATGGCAGAGTGGCCCGACGGAAGCCTCTCCTCAGTTCAAGACACATGAAAGCCCGCATGGAGTTTGCTAAAAAAACACCTGAAGGACTCCAAGATGGTGAGAAATAAGATTCTCTGGTCTGATGAGACCAAGATAGAACTTTTTGGCCTTAATTCTAAGTGGTATGTGTGGAGAAAACCAGGCACCTGTCCAATACAGTCCCAACAGTGAAGCATGGTGGTGGCAGCATCATGCTGTGGGGGTGTTTTTCAGCTGCAGGGACAGGACGACTGGTTGCAATCGAGGGAAAGATGAATGCGGCCAAGTACAGGGATATCCTGGGCGAAAACCTTCTCCAGAGTGCTCAGGACCTCAGACTGGAACTAAGGTTTACCTTCCAACAAGACAATGACCCTAAGCACACAGCTAAAATAACGAAGGAGTGGCTTCACAACGACTCTGTGACTGTTCTTGAATGGCCCAGCCAGAGCCCTGACTTAAACCCAATTGAGCATCTCTGGAGAGACCTAAAAATGGCTGTCCACCAACGTTTACCGTCCAACCTGACAGAACTGGAGAGGATCTGCAAGGAGGAATGGCAGAGGATCGCCAAATCCAGGTGTGAAAAACTTGTTGGATCTTTCCCAAAAAGACTCATGGCTGTATTAGATCAAGAGGGTGCTTCTACTAAATACTGAGCATTTTTCAGTTTTTCTTTTTTAATAAATCTGCAAAGATGTCAACAATTCTGTGTTTTTCTGTCAATATGGGGTGCTGTGTGTACATTAATGAGGAAAAAAAATTAACTTAAATGATTTTAGCAAATGGCTGCAATATAACAAAGAGTGAAAAATTTAAGGGGGTCTGAATACTTTCCGTACCCACTGTATATATATATAATTTTAAAAAGAATACTGTTTTGTGTCAATTAATGTAGTTTTAAGAGTTTTTTAGGCGAGAATGTACTTTTTTAGACTTCAAATATGTGGTTTGTTAATAAAGATAACGTCTATTTGTATATAACAATATTAGATACAGATACAATCATCAACACATGATATGTGGGGGTGTGGTTTGGCATGCAGGAAAACAAATGTGAAATATCATAGTTAATAATTACATTTCTACAGTAAATACAAAGATGCATGTCCTATAACATGCCCATTAACAGAAAGAAAATGACTTTTGGTAGATTTTTTTTTCTTCTTCTTTAGGTCCCTTGCCAGCTTGAATGAATAATGAATAAAATGTTCGGTAACACTTTATTTTAAGGACCAATTCCAACTACTAACTAGTTGCTTATTAGCATGCATATTACTAGCATATTTGCTGTTTATTAGTACTTATAAAGCACATATTAATGCCTTATTCTGCATGACCATAATTTAGATCCTGTAATCCCACCCCATACCTAAACTTAACAACTACCTTACTGACTATTAATAAGCAGCAAATTAGCAGTTAATTGAGGGAAAACTCTTGGTTAATAGTGAACATGTGTTCCCTAATCTAAAGTGTTACCAAATGTTGATTTTAAAAAGTGCATAATATTGATAATTTGTTTTGATTCAAGTAAAATCTCATTTTTTATATACTTAATATTTGATTTAATATAAAAAAAAAAAAAATCTAACTAAATCCTTATATATATATATATTGAACAAATTGGTTTAAAAAGCTAACCCACAGCATATTTAAATGTCTATATAAAGAAGTATCTGAAAACCAAAAAGTATTTGAGAATTGACTTGGACTCTGCTTCAGAGACTTGCTCGTGTCTGCATGTTACTGCACCAAGCACAATTCTACCCCCTCTCTCCTCCTCTCCCTCTCTCTCTCTCTCTCTCTCTCTCTCTCTCTCTCTCTAGCACTCCTGGATGGACACCATGCTGGAGGTCATCAATGATGCTGATGGAGAAAAATAAGAGGGTTTTTTTGTGGCGGCCTGAGGCAGCAGGCAGGCTCGGGTCAGCCCTCTACCTTGCCCAAACAGAACTACTCATTTCATTGCCCTTGTACCAGCATGAATTCAGCACTGAACATTTGTTCTGTGTCTTTTTCAGGGTCTCGCACCTTTCTTTGTACCCCAGGTCTGTGGCACATTTGAACTGCATCTAACCGAGACTGTTCTCTCTCACCTTAACACACCTTTAACTGTCATTCTCCTGGGACGGTTATTGCTACAGTTGTACTCCAGTTCTTTCTCTTCCAGTGTTCAAGAAGAATAAAATTCCTCTTGTTAAGCGTCCCACACATCCTCCATTTTTAACAATACCCTACTTCCTGAAAGATATTTTCTGGTTTTTAAATCCGAACTCGTATGACTATCTTTCCAATTAACCAAGCTGATGCCGCAGTACCGACTTGCGAATCTGACCAGTGATTGGACTCGGGTGCACAATGCTTAATTTAATTTGCGTATTAACTGCATTTTTTCCTGCAAAAAGAAAAGCTGTAAACAGCTTCCGTTCCACGCAAATCTGTCTTCTCAATCGCTTGATCAAGATATCTGTTCTCCAAAGTGTTTCAAGAGCCAGCAGCTTTGGGGCAGACAGCTTTGAAGCCCCTGGAAATACAACGGCAACACTGAGAAAAGCTCCACTTTAGCTCTCCGTGTCCGCCCCTCGTCGCTTTTCTGGCAGCTCGCACAAACCCTCTCCTCCAACATGCTTTCCAAAAATAAGGACAGACGATCTCAGGATTCTTTAATGAACTGTCAAGCGCCTCAGCTCCAGGGTGTACACAAAGATAGGCACCTCAGCAGAGCTCAAACTTACTGTACAGAATAGAGTAACCTGCATAAAAAAAGGCTTTCACCTGAGTATTCCCATCTCGGTGTTAGGTGCTCTCTGGTTTATGGCAAAGTAAGCGATATAAAGTGTTGATTGCTGAAATGTTCATCTGCTTGTGCTTTTATATCGTTGACCTTTATAGTATTTTGCACAATAGAAAATCTGAGGTGACACGATTCACACAACGTCCTCGAGGGGCCCACTTCACAACTGTCATTTTGCACAGACAGTCCTCAATGACGCAGATCTGTATGCGCAAGGAAAAAGGCCAGTGACCTATTTCAGTTTTTGACTAGACATTATTCAGCAGTATTTATAAGGTTTTATTCAAAATCACCGTTCTTCACCAGAAGTCCTTTTATGTACTGTAAAAAAAAGATTTTTCTAAGTTTTCTAATTTCTGAGAGAAATTGTTTCAAAGGAAATCCAATACAATTTTTTTTTCAGTGTGGAAAAGCAATTGGTGGTACAGAATTTGCTATTAGCCTGTTTTAATTTTGCTATTCTTTTCAAATAATAATAATAATAATACTAATAATAAATAGATCAAGGACAATTGTACAATTGCTATTTGATTGAAATACCCACACATTATCAATATGAAGAACAATATGCTCACTTAGCATAACTCCTTGTTTGCGTCAAGTTATGTACACAATTGTTTTTGAGCCAGTCACCTCAGCTATAAAATATCATGTGACTAATCACTATGAAAACACAGGAAAATGATGTCCTGAAAATGTTAATTGGCTAATGGCTCTACAAGAATGTGCAAAGTATTAAACTCTTCACTAGCCTTTCCTTTGAGGTCAACAGCAGCAGACAGACAAAACTAACAATTCAAAAAATCAATTTCAAAATTTTAAGAGCCCCTAAAAAATGTGTCACTAGTAAAACGTCTACTATAACATATAATGAAATATTAGCAATATACTAATATACTACTAATACTGTAAATAAATAAATAAATAAATGTAAATATAAATCAGAATACATGGCTTCCGTTGAATGGCTACCAATGGAAAACAACATTTTTGTTCTGCAGAATGATGTAGTTACAGCATCCACCAGAAGACTAACTAACCCATGCTAACCAGCCAAACCTCTTGGTTACGATGACCTGTCATGTGTTCTGGTCACTTTGTGTTTCCAAGCATTGGTGTGCCACTTGATTAACACCAATATGATAAATGGTATGCACAATCTAATATATCTACCATCTGGTTTTGATGGACATAATTCTCAAAAATCTTCACTTCAAAGAAAAAGAAACCGCAAAGACTTGCAATAAAGCTATTGTAAGAAAAGGTGTTGGTTAAAGACAGGAGCTTGCTTCAACCTGAAGGCTGGACATGCCTGCACATACTCACACACATCCACACAAAAGATGTTGCCACACAAGAACGCAATGTACAATTACTTTGTGATACAATACCCACACATTAGCATAATAAAGAACATTATGCCAGCTTAGCACAACTCTAATGATAGACCGCTGAAAATAGAGCCTCTCTCAGCTGAGGTACGAGGAAGTGAAACTTGCAGTCAAGCAGACAATCATTCACAAAGCATGATTCGATAAACTAGTGAAGAAAATTGCCATTATATTAACCAGTCAATAGTCGCAGGTTATAACAAATCCAAACAACCTTCTGTTTTCTAAGCAACACTAATTTGATTTGCTCTGATATTTTGCCATTTGAAAGTCTGCTATCATGGAAGAAGCAGCTCATCCAGAAAAGGGATGTGAGGATTATACACATGTATGTTATTTGTGCTCTGCTGCATTTTCCGTGACAGCTCCCTGACATCAGCACCCATTCAGATGGCTGCA